CCCAAAAAAATCAGGCTTCCTAGCTTCCGCTGCTGTTAAAGCAGAGCACCGTCTACGAAAACACATACGCAAGCAAACATATAAAAACGCGACTTCAACAAAAAATCGTTATTTAGCACCTGCAAAGGTACAGAAAATCTCGCTGACAATACGAAACAATGTAATTAAGTGACCTACCCTCACTAGTGTTGGAAGATTCTAGCTTTGGTGTTTTGCGACCACTTTGATGCGTGTCCTGGGCAGATGCAGATGAACTGCGTGATTGCTGAAATCTAATTTTTTGCTAGGACGAAAACAGCTATTAAGTGAATTGGAAAATTGATAAGCTACTGCAAACATACAATCAAAATCAAAATTTTTGCTTTATTAATACGCCGTCTTATGCACGTCCTAGTTATGCCACCCGGTACCCGTTCAGCCCCTACATTTCCAAATTCCACCCGCCCGAAGGGCCCAAACGGCCCGTGGGGTCTTTTTCTTATTCTAAGAGCAAAATCCTCAAACACTTCCAAATTCTCCACTCCCCTCCCCCTTCCTGTCTCGCTTCCAAAAAAACCTAAAATATCACAATACCACAAATCAGCCAACATATTTTGTTCAATACAAGAGATGGCGGCTTTCTGAGAGATAGCATTCTACAAAACAGGGTCATTCGGTGTCAAAACTCACGAATGTCCCCTCTCCCTTACGAGGGCGCGAAAGTTGAAAGTAGCTCAGACCTTCCAGTGATGTGAAATTCCAGTACTAGTTCAGCCCAAGAAACAATAGGCATATTGTCCTGGTGAGCGTTTTTTATGCGTTTTGTGCTGTGCAACAGCAGAACAAAACGCATATTGTCACGGGGTTGTCTCTGTGTGTGTGTGTGTGTGTCCGCAGCAACTTGTCCGCAACTTTTAACTCGGGAACCACAAAAGCCAGGAAGCTGAAAATTTAGGGGAACGTTCCCCACCCACGTATGACTCCGCAAACTTAAATTCAACTTCCTCGTACCCGCGGGTAACACGTACGACCTCGTGAAAGTTTTTTACGGGTAAATTAATATCTCGAGAACCACGGAGTCTAAGAGGCTGAAATTTCAGAGTAATGACCTCCTGCCCACGCTCAACCTTACCCATTCAAATTTAGCGTTCCCGCGCTCTTGAGTATTACTTACGGCATCGTGAAAATTTCGGCGGGTAAACTCGAATTCAGCTTTCATGCGCAGGTGCGTGAAATTTTTAACTATTTTTCAATGTTTGAGCTACTTTTGCACAGATTAAAGTATAAAGCAGTGAAAATCATTAATGGGCAATCGTTCGATGGGCTGAATTGCACAGAACGCATGATTGCACCGGCTAGTCTGGTGCGCGTTGCTATTTATTTACTGGCATGCCTGAGCAATGTAAAAACGAATTGAGAAAAAGAGCGAACCTTAGAAGTTTCATTCTGCGACCGGATGATTCGTCGTTTGCGCGTGCGCACAGCGGACTTCCGCAGGTCGGTCTTTTTTGCCGTTTTACGTAGCGTCTCGAAAGCAAATCGGAAATCAGGTTTGGCAGGATTGGCAACTGGTTCCAATTTCACCAGCCGTTGCTTTTCACCCGGCACATTCGGCTTCATCAGCATCAGCACCTTTGCATCGGGAGGAAGTACGGCTCGGGTGAATGTCGGCCCCATCGTATACTGCTCATATGCTTGCGAATCGCTCCCCACTGCTGCAAAAAAATAAGGGCTTTGAAGAAAAAAGTATCCAGAGGTATGTATGACTGCTTGCGGATGTGATGAAAACGCCCAGTAGCTAGGAATCTCCTTCATGGTTACCCAGATGTGGCAATTTTCAGGCCGAGCTAGTGATGCCTAACTAAAGTCACTTCGAAATACTAAAATTCTGCGAAGTTTTTTTGAAGGAAGAACCGCTGCGCTTCGGGAGATGACATGAAAGATGGGACTGACAGGAAGCTCATAGCTGGAAGGCCTAATTATGAATTGCAGATGTTCTAAATATTTCGAATAATTATGATGTAAGCCTCATCCCAGGACTGCAGTACTCAGCCAAGCCCTCCTCTCCCTCCCCGAGACTTCGGCACCCGCTCATGCACATCTGAGTCCCGCGCCCAAACGCTTGAAAGTTTTGGCGGGAAAATTGCTGACTCGAGAATTAGAAAAGCCAGAAAGCTGAAATTTTAGGAGGATGTTTTCTGACAGTCCTAGCGGCCAGTCTCAATTCTTTTAGCTTGAAGCATGTGCCGGAAAAAAACAGTGTCGTTAGCAACAAAAACCCTTTCCGAGAACTGTGCAAGAAATTCGCAACGGCAATTAGTGCGCTGGTAAATTATTTGCGTTGCATAAATGCAAAAAAAACGCAAAACCAGGGATTCTGTAACATTGCAATACATTTCAAGCTAATCTTTCCGAACATCACTGTGCTGACTAACATTCAGACAAACGACTGCTGCCTTCACCAGCCGTTTCAAAGGCTCCACAGTCGCCACCATCCGGTGGTCCATCATCGCAGCTGCCATCGTCGGCTTCTTGTTCCGGTTGCAGTGCTGGCGCATCGTCACCTGAATCGATCGTTTCGCATAGGTATTTCTCATTGAGCCTCTTCTGTGCCTCACCTTGTCGCACCATTTCCGGCTTCGACATCTCAAATTAAATTTCATATTAACACGAATATTTCGCGTATCTGGAAAAAAACTGCGACGCTGCTGCATAAGACCGTGAAATGCCTTGCGAAGTTGTTGCATAAGACCGTGAAATCATATTAATATTGTAATAAACTAGACGAATTCGTATATATCTAGATTTCATAACATTAATAAATAACCTTATAGGTATCTCTCCGATTGGTTTTTGTGGAACAGCTTTATCTAAACATCAGTTTCATAAAAAGGGGAGTCCCAGGAGCGCACTTCCTCATCCTTCCCGTTCTTCACCACTCTCCTCTCCCCTCAACTGTACGTTACTTAGTCAATCGGCAAAAAATAAATAACCTTATAGGTAAAAAGTATCTGAAAAAGTATCCCAAAAAAAGTATCTGGAACAGAAATGGATTCAACAACCCCTTCTACGATAAGATTTTTACATCAACTTTATTCTTTCTCTTACACACTTAACTTCTGTCATTACTTTACTTATTCTAATACTACATTTTTAAATTTAAATCAAATTCATGCTAATTACCACAATCGTCGTACTGCCGAGGTCCAATTCTGGTAATGGTAAGAAATGTATACAACTTAATGGACCGAAACGCTCCTTGCCATTAAAAGTAATTTTCAACATTTTATTAATTTCTTCTTTTCGACAATAAAATATTTTATTTTACTGCATTTTGTATGGCGAAATAGAGGGTTTTTTTTTTTTTTTTCTTTTTGTCTGAGGCTTCCTTTTGCACTACAGTTCTTGAGTATCGGCAAGTAACGTACGGAGGAAGACTTCTACCATGTATTAAAATCTCGCTGTTTTATGCAGTTTGAAGTCCTTGTTTTTCCACCTAACTGTAAAAAGACAACTGGCAATATTCCCAGCACAAGAAGGAGTATGCGTGAAAGGATTTTCAAATACAACGGCGAAGATGCTACAAGAACACAAAAGCCACGAAAGAGGAGCAAAAAATTAAGCAAAACGCCCTATATATGAAAGTTAGAGCGCACTTAGGGCTCAGCACACCTCCAGTGGGGCTTTCATTCTCGTATAACTGGCGTCAGTGAGACAAAAATGTATGAAAGGAAAAAAAAAGCTACATGGTGATAATGAGAAATAATAGATGGGCAAAGTAAACTGGATCATTGGTACTCACATATTATTCAACATACCAAAAGGTAATGCAATGAAAGGGTCTATTAAGAGGTTCTGAACGGGAATATTCCTACAAAGTTTCAACCCCTTAGCTCTTGTGGTTCCCAAAATCGTTTTCCCGCCAAAAAATTCGCATATTTTTTTAAAGCGTCCGTACGCGGCATCCAAGCGTCCACGGGGGATGAAATTAGACGGGAATTATTTCCCACCCAACGCTTGATGCTCCATTCCTAAAATCACCGCCCTCTTACGCCCAGGTCCTACACACGGACTTCTTAAAAAAATTTATGCAAATTTCTTAGCATAAAAGCGATTTCGGGAGCCAGGCAAGCTGGGAAGCTGAACCTTTACAGGGACATTCTGCGTACTTACGCGAGCTGATTATTTTAAATCCACCTCGGATGCAAATGGCATGAGTACAAACACGTCAAGATTGCGATTCCGCAACGGCTGGCAAAGCGCCAACTCGGAAACCACATTGATTAAATGCCTCTAGTTTCACAAGAATATTTGCTGTATGTGTGTGAGTCCATGAACATGAAATGAGCATTTGTGAACACTTGCATCACACGTACGAGTATGCCAATCCGTTTTGGGAAGAAAAGTGATTTTCAGAGTTTGCCGATCTAGGAAGCTGAAACTTTGGGGGGATCTAGGAAGCTGAAACTTTCGGGAGATCTAGGAAGCTGAAATGATGCGTTACAAGAGCATATGAAATTCAATTCACAGATCAGTCCAGATCTCGCGTATGAGCAGATGGCAATTCCAGTAGGAACATACATTTAACTAGCGCTTCAGACTACGAAGGCAGCTGTATTTTTATGAAGATATCCGCTGTTCATGTTCGAACATGTATGCATAAAACAAGCATTTACGGTTCATGCCGACTGCTTGGATACATCAAATGTTACGTGCTGTGAACAATATTTCCCTCCTAAACATTTGCTAGGATTCCTGAATTTTTACGGGATGGTTGCTTGTCTTATTATAATCCCATATTGGTATAAAACAAGTCCTTTTTTTATGCCATTTCTTTATAGATACGTTGCACTGTTTTCAGCTACTAAATTCAGCTAGCTAGACAAAATTTTCGTTTCGGGTTCCTGCACTTTACATCACACTGTCTGTTCGGGTTATGCTTCCCATGATTATGCAAATCTACATTACCACCAATAGCATGGATTAAATAATGCATATTTATATAGCATTATTTAATCAATTTAAACATAAGCCATAAATATCTTGCTTTAACAAAACAGTGCCTCAAAACGCTACATATCAGAACAAATCAAAACTCAGAATAATGAGACAGAAGTACCTCGGCCAAGCGGCCTCACTACCGCGCGATTTAGTGCAAAAACGCATGATCACACTGGCCCACCGGCTGGAAAGCCAAATTATGGATTACAGATATCCTAAATATTCCAAATAATTGTGATGTAAGCCTCACCCCCAGGACTGCAGTACCCAGGCAAGCCCCCCCCCCCGTCCCCAAAAGACCCCGGTACCAACGCTCACGCATGTCTGGGCCCCACGTCCGAGCCAATGATTTAGTTTCTCGACGACGCAAGAAAGGCGAATTTCACTTCATTTCATCTATATCATTCACCAACCAGGACACAGCCCTAGTTTCATACATACATGCATTTGAAAGCAGAAAAGTGAAGAAAAGGAAAAACAAATGATAAAAGCCGATGTAAAGCTGATTGTAGCATACAAGTAGGTGCTAGGAGCTTAGAGAACGGAAGCATGGGGCGAATAGGTAAGAATTTATAACTTTATAACTTTTCCATTTTTTCCATTTCCTCACTTTCCATCTTCTATTTCTTCTCTTTCTTGTCTGTTTTTATTTTAAATAATTTTTATACTACGCTAAACCATCTAAATTATTTTGTTACCACAATCGTCGTACTGACGAGGTCCAATTGCGGTAACGGTAAGAAATGTATACGACTTAATGGACCGAAACATTTCTTACCTATTACAACTGTTTCCTTAGTCCCCTTTCCCCTTCTTACTTCGCTTTTTCTTCGTTTTTTTCCCTTCTTTATCTTTTCTACTTCATTATTTTCTCTTCAATCTTTGATGAATGAATACGAAAATAGTGAGTTAAGTGCGTTTCGGTCCACTAAGTCATATACGTCTTAGCTCAACACCACGACTGGACCTTGTCAGTATGACGGTCAGGAAAACATTGAAGCTAAAATATAGCAATTTTTGAGGGGAAAATTGTCAAAGTATACTACTACAACAGCGCATGGTGGAATAAATGCACTCAATGCATGCGAAGGAGAGGCCACAACGCAAGGCTGCTAATGAACTTCGAACAGAATGAGCATGAATCATCGCAACATGCAAAGTAATTGCTTGCGAAAGCCGAATGCAGGCGTTAATCGGTAGCTACTGATGTAAATGGTGAAATTATTGAAGGATCACGATGGAAAATTCAACGCGCAGTTTTCAAAAATACAGAAATGGACATAAGTAGCCGTCCCAAGTGATACTTCTTCAAAAAATATCAAAAAATAGCGGTGCGCATCAGAGCAACCGGTGCGATCATGCGTTTTGTGCAATTCTGTCCATCGAACGATTGCCTATTAATGATTTTCACTGCTTTGTACTTTAAGTCTATGCAAAAATAGTTTCAACATTGGAAATCAGTTAAAAATTTCACGCACCAGCGCATGGAAGCTAAATTCGAAACCTCAAAGGATGAAAATCCTTTCAAAATTCCTGATTTTCCCGAAAATCCCTGAAAATCCTTTCAAAATTTCTGACTTCCTGATCTTCTGCTTTAGAATAGTTTTTGCAATAAAAGTTTCACGTGGTCATGCGTGAGAGCTCGGCATACTTAGGAACTGAATTCGAGTTTATGGAGTACCCACTTAAGCAGGAAACTTCCTCCTGGAATTTTCAGCCTCACAGCTTTTCTGGCTCCCGAGATGACGATTTTTCTCACCAAAACTTTCAAGACGACGACATGAATTTGCGGAATCGTACGTGAGCAGGGAACGCTGCGCTAAAATTTCAGCTTCCTAGCTTCCGTGTTCCCAAAATAATAAGTTTCCCCGCCAAAACTTTTAGAAGGCCATACGTATTACCCGTGGGCAGGGGAAGGTAGAATTTAGATTTCCTGGGTGGCATGTGGGAAGAGAACACTACCTATATTCCGTGGTTCCCGACATAACAAATTTCCCCGGCAAAACTTTCTTGGGGCTGGACACGTTATCCGCGGGCAGAGGATGGCTGAATTTAAATTTTCTAGGTAGCACATGGGCAGAGGACATGCTCACAAAATTTCAGCCTTCTAGCTCCAACGGTCCCGAGATAATAATTTTCTTTGCCAAAACTTTTGCGGGGCTGTGTTTATTACCTGCGGGTACGGAAAGGCTGAGTTTAAATTTGCTGGGTCACACGTGGGTGGGGAACGTTCTCTAAATTTTCAGCTTCCTAGCTTTTGTGGTTCCCAAGTTGAAAGTTGCGGACAAGTTGCTGCGGAC